GTTCTCGGGCACGCTGAGCGTCGTGCGGAACGTCTTGAGGTAAAAGACAATCGGCAAAATCATGCAGCTGAGCGCCGTCGAGGAGGCACCGACAAAGTCCAAGAGGTCGCTGAAGTGGTCCTTCCAGATGATGGCAATAATGACCATGACCACGACCATGACCGTGCGCAGGACGCAGGCCTTGAGGTACGCGCCCGGGGCGGCGTAGGCCGCAACGACTTCATCGTCGACGTGGTTCGTCTCGACGTGGACCTTGGCGTCCGCCGACGGCGTCTCGAGCGACGCGTACATGGCATCCTTGGCCGCTTCGTCCGCGGGTGCAAGGGCAAACGCGTTCTTGTGTCTGTTTATCTTGCCGTGCAACGACACGAGACTATCCATCAACACCACTTGAGATGACTACTGTGTCGGTCCTTGCGTCCAACAGCGATGATGTGCGCGTGCGGTTGACGCGGCGACTGTGCGACGTGGTATAAGCGGCTACCGGTATAGCTGCGCTACACCACTGACGCTACGTCGTAGCATCACCTTCTATGCCGGGTTGCCAGCCGATGTCGGGCCCAACTGCATTGCAGGTGTCTCGCCCAGTCCGAAGGGCCAGTCCTTCTCGCCTCCGCATGTGTGCGACACGACTTGTCGCACCAGATCGCCGACGCAGTCGGTCCATCGTTCGCTTCCGTGTCGTTCTCTCGTCGTCCGTATCGACGACAGCAACGGCATCACCCTGGGTCGATGGCGTAGACCGTGTCTGTGTTTGGATGCTTGCTTGAAATTTCCCTTACGACTTGGCCCTTTAACAGTTTTTTCAATCGTGAGCACTTTGGCAGTCATACTGTGGACAACCAACAAGATATGATCGACGGCGTGATCTGTTAGGCGCCAAGGCAATTGTCGTATGCAAGAATATAATTAGATTAAGCGACACCATACTACACTAGAAGAACGAACCGAGAGACGCCTCAAAACTTGTAGTGGGTCCGGTTCGTGTAGACGTAGTGCTGGTACTTTTCAGGGCAGAACGGGAACGTGATGGCCGACTCGGTTGGCGAAAAGAGCGCAATGCCCGTCTTGATCGACACATACACGGCGAGCACCGTCGTCACGAGCATTGAGAAGATCGCAAAGCACTTTTCGGCCTTGGACAGCGTCGGCCAAAACGTCTTGAGGTAAAATGCGATCGGCAAAATCATGCAGCACGTCGCTGTTGCCGACGCACCGATGAAATCCAAGAGGTCCCCAAACTTGTCCTTGAACGCGATCGCAACCACAACGCAGAGCGCAACCATGATGGTGCGGAGAACCGCTGCCTTGGCGTAGGCACCCGGCGCCTTGTACGCATCCGCGGGGTCGTCGTGGTGCGCAATGAGCTCGGTCGTCGTGTCCTTGGGCGTCTCGAGGTCAATGACATCGGCGGCTTCCTTGGCCACCGGGCTGTTTTTGTGCAGGCCCAAGACAATGCGCTCGGCCATAAACATGGCCGGAAAGAGCACGAGAGCAAATGCAATCACAATATGGAGGTGCATGAAGAGGAACGCGAGGATGACACCGCCGCGCGACGCCGTGAAGCCGAGCTTGGAGCCGGTGATGGCAAAGAGGAGGTTGCCGGGGATCTGGCAGCCGACCTTGAAGACACCGAGGACCGAGACGACGAGAAAGCAAAACGAGACCAGCACCAAGGTGACCGTGATGACGCGCGGCATGCGTTCGGGCTGCGAATGCTCGCGCTGGAGCGACGGGATGATGATACCAGCCGCATACGCAAGGGCCAAGCTACCAAAGACGGTCGCGACACCGCTGAGCGAGAGCTCGGGCGACGGCGGCGAGACTTCGTCCGGAATCTCAATGTTGCTGACCAAGATGTAGATGGCGATCGCATCGGCGAAAAGCACGCCGAGCGCACCGGCGGTGGCCGTGCCCGCGCTTTCCTTGAGCGTCGGGACGAGGCAGACGGGGAGGAGCGAGAGACCCATGAGGATGATCCACGTCGTATCTTCGTACGAGTCCGGAAACAAGACCGT